AGATCACTGAAAAAGAATTCGAACCCAAAGTCGACCAGATTCACCAAGTGGAAGACGATGGTGAATTCTTTGAGGATGACAACAATGTTGTCATCCATTGCATTTAAAAAGTTTACACCTCTCCCATCTGTATGGTGAGAAGTGCAATATCACAACCTGTTGCCACGATGACTAGCGTAGGATTGCGATCTTTCACACCTACACCAAAATCAAGGATAAAAACTGTAAAGTCGTCGTGGATAATGGCAGCTGCATCAATGATGTCTCCTCCAGCATGGTGTCTAAGCTTGGCCTGTCTGATGTTCCTCACCCCAACCCCTATAAGGTAGCTTTGATCAACTCCACTGCCTTGGAGATGAAGGAACGAAGCCTCGTACCTATCTCCTTCACTGACTATAAGGCATGGTTTAAAATTTCGCAATATGAGGCTCGCCTTGAGGCCCGCCTTTGCGCAATTCCAATAAAAAACGCCTCGATGCTTACGCCTTACGCCTCGAGTTTTTTTTTATGAGGCTTGCGCCTCAACTTGGTTGAGGCCCGCCTCGCCTCACTGGCTTAAGGCTTATGTCTCACACTATATATATTAAAACTTACATAAATCTTGAAGTAAATGCCCGATATTAGACTCTATATGAGAGGAGGAAGGGGAGAGAACAATTCACCATAATGATGATTCAAATGAAGAACCCCTTAGTGATGACAGTGCTGATGACTTATGAGTTCTTATGTGATATGTCATTGCTATTTATTTTTGGAAATTGGAATTATATGTTAATGAAAAGAATACTAGGATTTGGGAAAGATAAAATTTTGTGTTGAACTATATTTCATGTTGTCTTATTATTGAGATATTTTGATTTCACTTCATATCTTATGCTTTTTTATGTTTTATATTATTATCTCATTAGTATATAAAAAATTTATCATTTTATGTTTACGCAATCTTTCGATTTTGAGGCTTACGCCTCAAAACGCATTGAGGCTTATGCCTCGCCTCACGAATGAAAAACGCCTCAATACCCGAATACACAATTTTAAACATTGCTATAAGGAGAATATTTGGTGTGATTTGTTGATTATGAATGTTGGACAAATCCTTCTAGGTTGTCCCTGGATATTTGACAATGATTTTCACATCTATGGGCATTCAAACACCTGCATTTTTTAACATGCGGGCAAAAAGATCAAGATTTTGCCATCACAGACTCGGGTTAAGGATGATCCTAAACCCAACCTTGTCAAATTCAAGAAGGGATTTAACCTGATAACCGCCAAGGTTTTGGATTCTAAAGTAGCCCAAAGCACACCCCAGTACGCCTTAGTCGGTCGTGAGACTTCCGTTGAGTCTAATGAACCAGTCACTTAAAAGGTTCAGCCCATACTTAGTAAGTTTGTTGATGTCTTCTCTGATGATCTTCCTGATCAATTACCTCCGCTTAGAGACATCTATCATGCTATTCATGTCCCTGGAGCCTCCCTACCCAAACTCCCCACAACCAAATTCTCCTACAATAACTCTGTGAACCGCACCACTGGATTAAGTCCTGCAAAAATTATTTATGGGTACAAACCTAGACAGTCATTAGATCTCATCCCTAAGTCTTCTAAGTATAGGATTTTTTAATCTGCATCTTCATTTGCATATCATTTGCATGATCTGCATAAAGAAATTGCACGCAAAATTGATCATAGCAATATTAATTATAAACTACATGTTGATTTTAAACAAAGATTTTAAACTTTTGAGGTTGGAGGTTCAGTGATGGTGCGTATTTGTCCGGAACGGTTCCCAAAAGAAACGGTTAAGAAATTGCATGCTAAAAGTGCAGGTCCATTTAAAATAGTCAAGAAAATTAATAACAATGCGTACATGGTGGATTTGCCTATTGAATTCAACATTAATCTCTCTTTTAACATAAAAGATTTAGTAGAGCCTATGAGGGCAGAGTTTAACCCACCAAATCCACTTCAAACTGAACATTGGGTGACCCTACCCTGTGAGAACCCAAGCCTACCACCACACCCAAATATTCCCAAAATACTTATAGCGGAGAAGGTTGACACGATTATAAGTGAAGACATTATTTCCACAAAAGATGACGAACGAAGAAGATATCTGATAAGGTGGAGAGGTAAACCAGAGTAAGAAGATACGTGGCTCGAGCGCGAGGAGCTTCAGCAGATTAACCTAGATGCATTAGAGTTCTATGAGAGTAGCTGGGACGTGTACTTGACGGAATCGAGCTTTTTCCTGCCCCGGGAGAATGATGGACATCAGGTCTAGGAATGTTTACCAGAGGCGAGACTGACGATCTACGGCCACGATCGCGCCGATCTATTTTTTGAGTCATTTTATGTATTTGATTTATTTATGCACTTTTTTTTTATTTCTACCCTTACTTGATGGCCTAGTCGTATGTATGCCCTTAGGGGAAGTTCGTCTTTTATTTTCCTTTCATTGTATGAGGCTATTTATAAACCCCTTATTATTCTTTTGAAGTTATGAATGATCATTCATATTTTGTGTCTTCTCCTATGTGTTGTAAGAGAGAGCTTTGGAGATGTTGAAGTCCCTATGTGAGGGTATCGTATACCCACCAACCAAAGGAAGAGTTTAGGTTCGCGTTCGACAACGTCACTACCCATCCTCCTCCACCCTCAAACCGCCGACCCTCTCCCCTCAAAATCTCCCCTAGCCGTCGGCCAAGTATCCACCCACTCCTCCCTAAGCCACCGGCCCTCACAATCCCCTCCTTCACCCAACCAAAGTCACACCTCCCCTCTCCTTGCGTCCGAACACCACCACCTCCAAACCGCTGGTCACAAACCACCCACACCTCACCCTCCGGCCCTACTCCCCTCTCCCTCCTTTTCTTTCCAAATCTCTTCTAGGGAAAAAATTGAATACTTGTATAATTTAGATTATCTTAAACTTGGAAAGATTTCAATTTATAAATTCAAATTTATTTGAATTTGAATCATTTCCTAAAATAAGATTAATCTATTTTGGACACTTTCCAATTCCCTCAAATCTAAAATAATTAGAGATTTGCCCCTAATTATCTTTCCTTAATTAGTATTCTATGTTTGGAAAGAGTCTTAAATCCCCAATCAATTTCCCCCCATGCATGGCCGGACCCCTCTATCTATTTAATTCAATCAATTAATTAGATACTTGCCTCTAATCCTCTTTCCTTAGTTAACATCCTAAGTTTGAAAAGGATTTTTTAAATTCCCCAATCAACCCCATGCATGGCCGGCCCTCCCTCTCTCTCCAATTCAATCAATTCATCTTAACTCCCTAGACTCTCAAAACCAGCCATCTCCAACCTTCTGGGTGTCCCAGTTCTCTCCCACGTTGCCCTCAGTTTTCTCTGAATTCCTGCTTGCTGTCACCCTATTCCAGAAAGAGTATCTCATTGTCCAGTACCCTGAGGATCACAAATTGCTGTCCAAAGTTTCCAGCATCAAAAAGTAGCTGCCCAAGGCTTTTCTGAGCAAATATAGGTTGCTGTCCAGAATCTTCCCAAGACCAAAACTGCTGCTGTCCAGAGAATTCTGCACCTATCCATGCTGTCCAGCTGGTCGGGAGATCTTTGTGTGGTGTCCTGAAGCTGCAGTTTGCTATCCAACGAATGCAGCCCAAGCTAGCTTGCTGTCCACCGTACAGAAATCACCAAATTGCTGTCCAAAGGAAGCTAGGAGGTGCATGTTGCAATCCACTCTCTCTCAAGCACCCAAACGATCACACTGGAGCTTCGAATCTCCTTTTCTTTGGATAAACTTTTTTCTCTCACTCTTAGCTCTTCCTAGTTTACTCTTCAATTCTGGTCTTACTTGATTCATGAAGATCTTGTTAATTTCCCTCCATTAAAGCTTAGTAATTTTAATTTTAGAGAGTTGAGTGAGTGGATCTTTTCATAGTGACTTATCTTGTTGTTAACTACGGGATTTTATTGATGCTCTTCTATGTATGATATGTCTGATCTAATGGCTATTTAAATGGTCTTAGCTTTCACATGTGTAACTTAGCCTAAACTAAATTCACCTCTCTTGTTTTACTTCATCATTTAAATATCTGCAAGTCTAAGTAATACTGTTTCGAACAATTCAAGCGTGCAAAATTCCTATCTAAACATTGTCTAAGCATTCTAGTCCTGCATCATCTAGCTTATACAAAACTCAAACTATGATTCACAAAAAATATTTGGATGGAAGTGCTATTAATTCAACTATCAAGAGTCAAATCCATATTCAACTAAGAGAACTGGAGATTTATGGTAAGCTCTTTAGTACAAGTGTGATGCTTGATGGTATTATTTCGTAATCTCCTTCCTACTTTGTTTCATTTTTATAAATCTTGTTAGTGGTTTTCATGTGTGATTTAAATTAGTCATGCTAGATACAATCAAGATTTCTATGATTTCATTGTTTTTCAATTAGATTGTATGGTTTCAAAGATCCATAACTACTATGCATTATTCTAGCATAGAACTTTTGAAGTGTTATTTGCATTGAAATTTTATATTTTCTCTGTTTTTATCTGAGATGAAGATAAATTATTAAAATTAAGAGTCTGTGCACCGCAAGGTTTTGTGTGTTTAATGATTCTGTACATTTCATATTAGAAATGCATTAAAACTCTAGACCCTAAAGCAGCCTACATCAATTGCACTAGAATGATTGTTCAATTGAGTAAAAACCTCAAAGATGGACTTGTTGAGAGCAATAATACTAAGCAATTACAAAATGTTATTTCTAGAGATATGTTAGAAAGACCTTAAAAACAGAGTTTGGGAGGACTAAAATAAAATCTAAATCCCAAAAGGATGGCTAAGCATATTGATCATAATTGAGCAAAGGAAACAGCTATAAGTTTAAGGTAGCATCTAGCATTCACCTCAAGAAATTGCTAAATATATCTTTAAAAATTAAAAATAATTTGGTTGGTAAGTCTAACAAAAACAAAATATAGCAGCAAAAGGTAAAAGATATATTACAAGGCCTCTTTGTGGTACTGCTCCATAACCTGCCTCCAGCCAGGTAAAATATCTTCAAAACACACAAATAAAAAGGGAGGCTACGTTAGAATTAGAAAATTTTAATCTAGCTGAAAAAAATTCAACTCAGTGGTACTTTGAAATTACAAAGTTACATTTATAAGAAAATACATAGTGATCATGTAGATAAACAACAAGCTCACAAGCTAAAGAAAATTCAACAAATTAATGAAAGGTTTAACATAGAAAAAAAGACAACAATCAAGAGATTATCAGAATTATACAGGTATTTACATTGCAATTAAAGGATGTAGAAGAGCAGAAAATTTATGGATGCAACGACTTAGCAATATCAATGTCTCATCTAGTAAGTTCAGAGTTTTCTGATTAAAAAAAATGCATAGAACTTTCAGATTCCTTTTGACCGTCAATTAATATTCAGAAAACATGGGCACAAAAACAGATTCAATAATGGTTGATACCATGTTGAAATATTTTACTTGTCTTTATAATTAATTTTCTGATCTATAGTAGATAAGTTCCGACATTTACTTTAAAAAAGTAAGCAATAAAAATAATAAATATGAGGGAAAATAAAGAAATTGTCTCATGAAGAGAAAACATAGGGAACATGCTCTAGTATTTTACCTTCTGAAGGCCATTGATTTGGAGCATAAAAGGGTTTTTTTGCATCAGGATCATCTTCATGTACTTCAACACCTATGAAATATCCTTCTTTGAAGTCACCTAGAATATCCAAGAAAAATACAGTTTACAATTCAAAAAATATATGAAGCTGTAGCCACATAAGGAAATTATTCAACCATAATCAAAGTAGATAGGTTAATTATGGATCAAGGGAGTGATATTATGGGAAACATCTAAAATTGAAACTTCAAGGTTGGAAAATGGAATTAATTAAATGATGACAAGGAGAATGCCTTAGGCAAATGGCATAGACAAGCACCTTCCTTGCTTTAGCTAGTTTGCTAAAGAAAACTTTTTTTTTTACCTTCCTTAACTTCTTGTTATACACTAAATAGAAAGAAATTAAAAGGAATTTTCCATTTTTTGTAGTAACCATTTTCTCCTTTTCTTAATAAGGGTATAGGATCTGTTTGGTTTAAAGGAATCGAAAGAGAGGAAAAATAAATGAAAATGTAAAGGGAATTGAATTAAAATTATTTTTACCCAATTGTTTGGTCAAGTCAAAATGATGTGGGCTCCGAAAGTTTGTGCCCCGACCACTCCGCGGACCCTCTTCCTTTCTTATTCAGGTCATCGTGGAGAGTTTTAACACTTAAGTTACGAGGTAAATTTTCAAAAGGGGGAATGGACTGTGAGCAAGACACAACAGATATTTCTCCCTCATTTTGCGAAGACTTTAAGATATGGATTCAGGTTTCCTATAGGCGAAAGCCCCTATAGTTAATTACCCCTCCCGATAAGGAGCGAGAACATTCGATTAAGACAAGTCGTCAAACAGATACAAGGTAGCTAGCGTATAGTGGCAAATTTTTAAAAAGGAGCATCATTATAGAATAATTAAGCATAATTATTAAAAAATTTTAAAATGAGCAAAAAAGCTAAACAATTTGGCGTTTTTTTAGAAAATGCTATTCTGTTTAGCAATTTCTTAAAATGCCAATTTGTTTAGCATTTTCCTTAAGGAGGTGCAAAAAATAATACTAAAAATTTAATAATTACATATTTTATCAAAAATGAGACACTTCCTCATTAGTACATAAAGTGGTGGCTTTTAATTATCTAGTGAAGTGGTGTAGGTTCAAATCATATGATAATTTTTGTTGGAATTAATGATATGAAAATGAATATCTACATACATAATACTAATCTATGTTGCACGGATATGCCTATTTTTGAGGTATGTTGTATCGGACACGTGTCGGATAGGGATACGCCTTCGATACGGCATGGATACGTGTCGGATACGGCTATGCCTGAATCTCTTGAGGATATGGGAATATTAGAAATTGCTAATCTTTCACTTGATGAGCCTGAATTAGAAGCTATGATATTTATTGAAGATGATATAGAAACTCAAAGACAATCCACTGAAGAAGCTAATCCTATCATTCCTTCTATTGAATAGTTGAAATTTCATGTGTTGGACAATTTATCTTCTTGTTTTTGTTGTTGTACTAGACGTTTAAATATTTAATGCTTACTTTTATTTCAAATTTTTTGTCATTTCAAATATTACACTTTGATTACTTTCTTAATTTTTATGTATTACTTATATATTATAATGTTGTATCCATGCCGTATCCGTATCCTATATTTTTAAGAATTGATGTGTCCCGTATCCGTATCTTGTCGTATCCATATCGCCGTATCCGTATCGGTGCAAAATAGATACTAATAAATTTAAATCATTATTATTTTGATTTTTTTTAAGTTAGGGATATTTAATTTGATTAAATATAATTTATATTAATAAAATTAATTTTTTCACCTAAATAAATTTAAAATAATGTAATAATTTAACATTAAATTTTTTAGTTATAATATTTTTTATTTAAAAAAAATTATATTACGAAATTATTAATA